AAATAAACGGCGAAATAAAACCATGGTTCACAAAAGAAGCGAAAACTGCTAATTTACAGATATTTTTTACAGTGTGCAATGCTCTCGAAATTACATTACAAAAACTCGTAAGAGAAAACATTTCAACCACAGCGCCACAAAACAATACTCCTCCTGCACTCCCGAAAGAAGCCGCTTTGAAGATTTTTTAACGGCCTTCTTCCTTCTACGCGACAATTAAATGATAAACATCTCTGCGGTTCGGTTCACCGTCTGTCCCTAATAAAGATAACTGATGTTTGCAACCCAAAGAGCTCAAGCCATTATGTGCGCTCGACTCTGTGGGACCTCTCAGATAACAATATCTTCAGTGCTACTGGAGCATTAGATCATGAGTGAGTCGAAGCGCTCTGACTATTTGGGCACAATTCCTCTATAGAGAGATGCCTGGCAGGCGTTCGCTAATGTGCCTCCTAATGACAGCATTATAACGAGAGGCTAAACACTTCAGAGTGAACTCCGAGAGAGATGAGACCAGTAGACCACCTTCTCACTATACAGATCCCACTACTGCCAAAATAACCTTAAACTGACTGGGATATTTCTGGAGGATCTCTTAAGGGCAACAGTTTCTTCTTTCATATGAGATTTTTAGCTTTTTTTTTTTTAATTCAGTCTAATATAAAGAATCTTTTTCAAGTTACTAGTATTCAGATTTTTTTCTCAACTAGGGTCAACTAGGTTAATTAGGCAAGTTAGGGTAATTAAGCAAGTCATTATATAACAATGGTTTGTTCTCTAGACAGTTGGAAAAATATTGCTTGAAAATGGCAACCCAGGATCCTTCTGATCATGAGATCTGCATTTTCAGATCTCGAATATCTTTTGCCAGCGTCATTCATGCCTGCTCTTCTTGTGTGAATCCACCAGAGGCCGCTGTTGACTGACTGACTGAATGACTGACTTACTGACCGACCAAACGATAACCCAATTAACATCCTGTCCTAAACCGAAGCTATAGTGTTTTCAAAATCACTGACTGACCACCGATCACCCCCATCCCTAAACCAAACTGACAGTTTTCAAAAGCAATCCAGAAAAAGAAAAGCCCTCGCAGCAGCCTACTTTTTAATATGTTTTATGGTTTTACCGCATATTCACCCTGTTATTTACTTGTTTGTTAATTTTTTGGCTTTTGTTTTTGTCTTACCTGCTTTCTGGAACTGTTCTTCATCAGAACTTAACCCCATCATTACGGTCAATGCTCTACGTCTAAAATCCTCTGACGTACGCTGCGAGCCGCTGGACAAACTGGTAACTGCGGGAAAGCGTGTCATATCACACCATAGCATTCGTTTTAAATACAAAATGCAGCCATACATTCCACTGGCTACATAATTTGCAATCTCTAAAAATGTAGACAGGAGTACGTTTTCAGAAATAATGTTGTAAAATGGTCTTTAAAAATTTTTTCATCCTAGCCAAAATAATGCATAAAAGACTTTCTTCAGAAGAACAAAATATTATAGGAAACACAAATTGTTGCTCTCTTAAACATCATTTGTGAAATATTTAAAAAGGGAAAAAAATAAAATTAATTTGACTTTAACTGCATTTTTAAAAGCCGTTTTATCCAAATTCGTTTTTTTTTTATGCATAACACTCCACTTCAGCATCACTTACATGCACCAGACACAATTTCATTCATTTTTACATTCAGGAGGTTTTTGCTGAGGGATATGTCCATGCGTCATTAGTCTGATTATATACAACGTTTAATTCTACAAAAAAAAAAAAAAAAAATTGTCTTTCTTTCAGGCTATTCAAAGTATTTTCTTATATATAGAAGAATACAATTACATTTCTGAGATTCATTAGAATAGAGTATCTCTGTAAAACCTTTGATCCTAAAACATCAAAAAATGTAATTAAGAAGTAAAAACTAATTATTAAATAACCTGACTTTATCCACTGTTCAGGTATTGTGCTAGAAATGTATGCCAATTAGTGCATAATTAATTAAATGTTTATATGTAAATTTTTAAAAACATATATTTTTCTTAGTGTAATCAATTAACGTTGTGTTAACTTTTTTGTTACATTTCCCTATTTACATGCAGTTTTAAAATGATTAATTATTCACTAGTTATTATTACTTACTAGATTTCACATTTATTTATAATTTAATCATTTAAAATGGAAATACTATAATTACTCTATACTTTCCATTTGACTTTTTAGGTTTTCAAAACTGTTTAGTGTTTTGATCCTTTTATGTCTATGAAATTCTATTTTGTTTCTGTAACATTTTTCTCAAAAAGCATATTTGTAAATGTTTCGTAGATTTGAAATTTTCCCCGGATGTTGGTAACAACCAAAGAAATTCATATGTGCAAAAAAAACAAATCTAATTATTTAACAAATTAAGTTATGCATAATAAAACCAAATGTTTTAGGGAAAAAGCATTGAACAAATGAAGAAAGAGATGTGTAGAAAGGCAGTGAAAGCCCAGACAGCTGCTGAAATCTCTCAGTAGTTCTTCAGCAAACCACTGCCCTTCCTCATTGTAAATGATTATTAGCTGCTTCAGTCCAACATCTACATAATCAGAATGATGAAGATGAAACCAGGGTAGAAATTTTAGCAAGACAATAATCCAAAACACAGCCAAGGAATTGCTTTTAGAGAAAGAAAATTAAGTTGTGGAATGGCCCAGCCAATCACCTGACTTGAATCCTATATAGAATACAAATTTAAGATCAGATTTGATAGACGAGACTCTCTGAACCATCAAGATTTTTATACTCTGTTGAAGTCTTTGAAAAACTCACACCTGAGGAATTCATGTGACTTCATTCTCCATGAGAGGCGTCTTTAATCTGCCATAAACAAAAAGTCTTTGACATAAATTGTTAAATACGTTTCAGTAGATCAGTACCTTCTCCTTGTGTCCTTTCTTTGTTAATACACATTTTTCCGATTTGTTTTGTTTTATTTTTATGTTTGTATAATTATGTTTAACTAAAATCTGGTTTAATTCTGTCAACACCTCCTTTAGAAATATTATTCCCAGGAAAAAAACATGACATTTTCAATAGTTATTTTTCGCGCTGTACCCTATATATAATTTCAGTGTTTGTTTTAAATAGTGACATTTTTATGGTTTCATTTGTATTTAACTAACTATAAAAACCCTGGTTCATTGTAATAGGTGTAGAAAAAATAACAACTAATAACTTCACCACAATAAATGACTTTAAGCTGCGATAAGACTTGATAAGTCGTGGTTATTTCGCTTTAAAAAGTAGTTTTGCTGTACAGGCCAAGCAAGCAAGGTGAAGTTATGTTATCACACATGTTTGATGTGTTTCGATAGCTTAAGTTTTTCACACTTAGAGAGTAATCTGCACTTTGGATGTGCCTTAAGAACAAACATTATTACAGTTCACGCCATCTGCAGCTCAATAACAGATTCTCTAGTGGCTTTTCATTTTGCCTCCTACATAGTCTGAATGTTCTGTGATAAGAAGCTTCTGTGTTGATTGAGTTTTTACCTCTGCGGGATTTCAGACCTTTACGCCTGACTCAGGGTTTATGCGAGTTCACTCGGTGCATGCACACACACACACACACACACACACACACACACACACACACACACACACACACACACACACACACACACACACACACACACACTCAGACACACACACAGCTACTTCTATCTGCGAGCTGTTGATGAACGACTTCACTGGTGAAATGAAGTTATGCACTTCTATATTACACACAATGCTTTATGCATGCGGCGAATCACAAATGTGCCCCTGGTATGCTATTTTTAAGGGGACCTGATATGACCCCATTTCACAAGATGTAATATTTGTCTCTGGTGTCCCCATAATGTGTTTTTTAAGTTTCAGCTTGAAAGTTGAACTTGAGTGGGGAAAGTTAAACATGAGTGGTGTGTTTGTCTTTAAAGTGGCTGTGAAATCAAAATTACATTTTTAGATGCTAGTATCAGTATGTTAGTCCTATGGATATACCAGCCTGATCTCACGAGGAAACGTATTATACGTTTTGCTAGTTTAGTGGCTAATTCGTACAAATTCGTACGAGTTCAGTCGTACAAAAATGTACAATTTTAAAAAGGAGGTGTGGCACCTAACCCCACCCCTAAACTCAACCGTCATTGGGTGATGAGCAAATCATACTAAATTGTACGAATTAGATTGTACGAATTCATACAAATTAGCCACTAAATGAAAAAGTTACGAATTGCCGTGAGATTGTGTTGGATATACACTACCTACAAGTCTTGTCGCTTATCCAAGTTTTAGAAACAACAAATAATAACTTGACTTCTAGTTGATCATTTGGTATCAGAAGTGGCATATATGAAAGGCAAAGGCCTCTAGATTATGCTTATTTTACCAAAATAAAATATGATCATGCCTTGATTTTTAATTATGTAATTACAATTTGACACATTCAAACCACTGCAGAAATGTTCTAACCAACAGACCGAAGGTGTGAGCGCAGAGCTTCGATCAACAGTGTTGCCAGATTGGGTGGTTTTGAACACGATTGTGCATGGAAGTGGTGTTAGTGAGGCCAGCAGGGGGTGCTCAACGTGTGGTCTATGTGAGTCCTAATGCCCCAGTAAAATTGAAGGGCACACTACACTGTCAGTGGGCGCCGTCTTTCAGATGAGACGTTAAACCGAGGTCCTGACTCTCTGTGGTCAATAAAAATCCCGTGGCACTTCTCGAAAAAGAGCAGACGTGTAACCCCGGTATCCTGGCCAAAGTCCCTCTATCGGCCCTTACGATCATGGCCTCCTAATCATCCCCATCCACCGAATTGGCTCTATCACTGTCACTTCACTCCACCAATAGCTAGTGTGTGGTGAGCGCACTGGCGCCGTTGTCCTGTGGCAGCCGTCGCATCATCCAAATGGATGCTGCACACTGGTGGTGGTGTGGAGAGACCCCGCCCTCATGATTGTGAAGCGCTTTGGGTGTATGGCCATACACAATAAATGCGCTATATAAATACACATTACATTATATTACATGTATAAAATGACATAGGCGGGTATAGAAAGTTTGGGCGGTTTTGCAACAGAACGTCCGCCCCCCCCTCTACTGTGTTGTCCAGACTATCACAACCCATGCTGGAATCAGTCAGCTACATCTGGCAACACTGTCAAGCAAATACACTGCCATCCAGTGTTACAATGATGACTTTTCAGACTCCCCATCACTGTATTTTCAAAAAAATAACCAGGGAATATTAAGTGTTACTGGAGATTTGTAGAGACTCTCATGTATCTGTGTTATTCTTAACGTTACTCTTCACAACAAGGTGCGGGTGATGCCGTCAATCTTTTCCCCGCCTCGGAGCACTCAAGATGGCATAGTGCCACACAGCCGTCAACAAAAGCATTGAGAGCAGGTCAATCTTAATGTAAAGATGTTCTAAATGAATAGGGCATAGGGTTGATAATGGGGAATAGAACACAACCAGGAACTATGCTTATACAGCTCTAGAGGTGTAGTTGCAGACGTACAGGTTTGTGAATGTTCATTGGAACGACGATTTTGGAAACGGCAAATCAACGAACTATGTTTGTAACGACGAAACTTGCGACTTTAGTTAGCTAACAAATGTTTTTGGAAACCCACCCCTGTTCTTTTATTTACTTACAATGGAAAACTAGTATATTTGATACAATGCTTATATTGACATTTATAAATGGGTGGGACATGTAAATACAGATACTGTCAATAGCATGTTCTGAGATGAAACTAATGATTTTTGGTGATAAAAAGGGTTGTGGGAGGAATTTAATTATTATAAGCTATTTGCGTCAATGCTAACACAAATACATATTCAAACATGTAGCAAAAATCTAAGTCATTTTTTCAGTATAGGTCCCCTTTAAATAGACTCCTACAATACACGTACATTCATCCAACATTCAAACAACAGTTTAATTTTCTTACCTGTGTGTGTGTGTGTGTGTGCGTGCGTGTGTGCGTGCGTGCGTGCGTGCGTGCGTGAGTGCGTGAGTGCGTGCGTGCGTGCGTGCGTGCGTGTGTGTGTGTGCGTGTGCGGGTGCGTGTGTGTGTGCGTGCGCACCCGTGTGTGTGTGTGTGTATATTTATAGACACAGACGCTGGACTCCCTTGAGCAGGATCATGTGGTTTTGCTGGACTGAACTCCAGACATAGGAACATCTGCTCTACTTCTTCTCAGACTGAGGCCAAATCTCCAACCTGAGCAGACTGAACGCGGCGGGTCAGCATGAGTAATGCACACACGGGAGGTCAGATATTGCATAACACACAGCACAAGGCCAGACAATTACACAGACAAGAGCAAAGACACATATAGTACACACACATATGGTGACTCAGATGTAGTGTTCTGTGCTGCCTTTGTTGTGCTCTAAAATCCAGCCACACATGTTTTCACAAGCTACAACTTCAGAGTTCAACGACACAGAAACTATTCTCACTCAGAAACTGCTAGTGAATTTCACAACTTCAAAGAATATTGATGAATTAAACACACTGAGGTACTGTAGAATAACTGAAATATTAAGCTAGCAGATTTAAGATGATTCTTAAACTATTCAAGTATTTTAGTAAGGTAGAAAGCAATATTTGTATTTAATGTTATTAATATTCAGATAATTTTCATTTCATTGTCTATGATTAACATTTGGTAATGCAATATACAAAATAATAGGATTGGGCAATGTCGAACAATTTGGCATTGTATGATGTCTAATGTAAACATTGCAATGGACGATGGCATCGTCGCCATAGGTGGCGGTGAAGTAATTATTTATGAATAATTAATTCAAAACTAGTTAATTATTTGTAGCCTACCATTTTAACTACCTGACCCACAAGGTCTTTTTTTACCCATAATAAAACCATAAATAAATAAAGATAAGTTACACAGGACAATCACTTTTTCTGTGCGACTCTGGCATGAGTAGACAGAGTGATCTGTGTTGTTATAACAGCTTAAACAACCTTGGTTGGTAAAAAAGGTGCTCAACCAACAAGAAACAACCAACAGTATCTGAGGTTCCCCTTCGGGGGGAACTTCAGCACTATAAGTGGATTTGATTGTAAAATCCACGCATTGGGAGATTCGGTTCAGAAGCTACTCGTCTGAAAGAGTATTGAACGGGCCAATTAAGAATGAATTGGCAGCGCAAGCCTGCGCAGGTGAGCGGCATAAGCAATCAACTGAGTATATAAGCTCACCTGGCGCCAGCAGACGCTATCCTTTTCGCTTCAGAGACTTTCTGATCGAGTCGATGAGGGTTCCTCCTGCTGTGACCAGCGATTCTGAGCGAACGAGAGCATTCTCCCGGTCCAGAGTGTGTACACGCAGTGGCAGACGGTCGAGCTGGGTTTCTCCCTTGCCTGGCGTTCTTTGGGTCCGGTCCTCCAGAGCGGTGCGTATAAAGTTGCAAACTTCACAGAAAGAGCAACACAGTCGTGCAGCACGTACTTATCAGGACGGCGCTCCGACTGTGCGTTTCTGGATGCGGTGGTTTCCTGTCTTCGGATGATGGGCGCGGGCACTGCGTTACATGTCTGGGGGTCCAGCATGTTAATGCGCTGCTCGCGGGCAGTTCATGTCGTCATTGCGATGCCATGACTGTTGCGCAAGATCGCAGTTAGCCTTTGCAAAAGGGCGAACCACCCCCGTTGTCCCCTGCTCTGCAGCGGGCACTCGGGCAGATCTGAGGGTTTCAGCGAGAGATAATCCGTCGCCCACGGGCCCGCGGACATCCCGCTCCTCTAAGCGCTCCATCCAAGCTTCGGGCGGGGGAAGCGATCCGTCTAACAGATGGTAGCCCTTACGCCCGATGACACCGGAGACCAGATGTCCACCGCGGCATCGGAGGGTGGGCTTTCATTGTCCGATGATGATCCAGACCCATTCGCCCCCTTCGGGCTGGTGAGCGCTGTCACTACGGATCCTGAAACGGACATGTTAGCCGTGCTTTCCCGGGCTGCTTCGGCCGTGGGTTGGAGATGGTTTATCCCCCAGCTCCGCGGCCGGACCGACTAGAGGGGCGTTCCCTTCTTCCCGGAGGTGCACAGTAGGCTCACGCGGTCTTGTAAAGCACTTTTTTCTGCTCGTGCTGCGTGTTCCTCCACCCTAACCACTCTTGACGGTGAAACAGCCAGGGGGTATGTGGCGATTCCTCAGGTTGAGTGCGCGATGGCGGTAAATCCGCGCGGCGCCTCTTCTTGGCGGGGTCCGCCTCGTCTCCCATCCAAAGCCTGTAAGTTATCTACCTCCCTCGGAGCTAGAGCTTACATAGCTGCGGGCCAGGCTGCTTCCGCCTTGCATGCGATAGCCACCTACCAGCGCTACCAAGCGCAGGCGCTGGCCGAGCTGCACGAGGGTGGGTCCAACCCAGGCTTACGAGCTTCGCACCGCCGCCGACTTAGCTCTTCGGACTACTGAGTCCGCTGCGTGTGCGTTGGGGAGGACGATGTCCACATTAGTGGTCCAGGAGCGCCACCCCTGGCTGATATGCGCAAAGTCGACAAAGTCCGCTTTCTTGACTTCCCCATATCCCCAGCCAGGTTCGGCGACACTGTCTGTGAATTCACCCAGGAATTCAAGGCGGTGAGAGAGCAGTTGGTGGGTGATGTCTTATCGGCGGTCCGTAGCCCGCTCCGCCCGCCGTGCCATTCATACCTGCTCCTCGCCGAAGGCGCCCGCCTACGAGAGCTGCTCCGCCCCCGCACACGCCTCCGGCGAAGCGAGCGCGTCGGGCACCTCGGAAGCAGGCAGCCCCCCTGCCCAGAACGCCGCTAAGTCCGGCAACGGACCGCGAAGCGCCCCTGGGACAGGCCATCTGGAGAAGAGGGAACTTGCTCTTTCCCCGCTGGAGGGCGGGGCCCCATTTCCAACGGCACTTTTTACTGCCATGAAAACATTATGAAGGGGCACTTTTCACTTCCCCAGATGTGACAGCCCGAAATCTGCCAGTCTGGGACGCTATGCTTTCTAGCTTGCAGATTCGGTGCGTTTCGCCAGTGGCTCACGAGCGCTGGGAGGACGGTCTCCTTTCTCCCACCCCTCGAGCCTCCCCTCCGGAGCTCGGGTTTGGAGTGAGAGCAAATATCTCACCTCCAGCTTTTCCGTGGGACCCGCGAGCTTCCCGGATCAGCACACCCACTCCGCGCTGCCCCACTGCTGGTACGTCAGCGATTGTAGCGATGAGTCCATTAGCGGGAACTCTGCCTGCCTGGTTAGCGCGGGCCAGCTCTTCGCGGTGGCTCATACGCACAATCAGACTCGGCTATGCGATTCAGTTCGCGAAACGGCCCCCCAAGTCACGGGTGTGTATTCACCAGAAAAACCCTGTCCGCCCCTGTCTTGCGAGAGGAGATTGCTGTCCTCCTGGCGAAGGATGCAATCGAGCCGCTCCCTCCAGCCGAGATGGAGAGCGGGTTTTACAGCCCACGCTTCATCGTGCCCAAAAAGAGCGGTGGGTCACGGCCAATCCTAGATCTGCGCGTTTTGAACCGCTGCCTGCACAAGCTGCCGTTCAGAATGCTCACGCAGAAGCGCATCCTCCGGTGCGTTCGTCCTCTGGGTTGGTCTGCAGCATTAGACCTGATGGACGCGTATTTCCATGTCTCCACTCTTCCTCGCCACCGACAGTTTCTGCGGTTTGCGTTTGAAGGTCGAGCTTGGCAATACAAAGCCCTCCCCTTCGGGCTCTCTCTGTCTCCGCGGGTCCTCACCAAGCCCGCGGAGGGTGCCTCAGCGCCCCTTCGGCTCGCGGGCATCTGCATACTCAATTTCTTTACGACTGGCTGATTTTTGCCCTCTCTCGGAGCAGTTGATTATGCACAGAGACAAAGTGCTCTGGCACTTCCACCTGTGGGGGTTTCAGGTCAACCGAGAAAAGAGCAAACTCGCCCCCGTGCAGAGGATCTCTTCTCTCGGGCTGGAGCTGGACTCGGTCACCATGGCAGCGCGCCTCTCCGGAGAGCGCGCTCAGCTGATGCTGTACTGTCTGAGAGAGCTCGACAGTAAAATAGTGGTCCCACTGAAACTATTTCAGAGGCTCCTGGGGCATATGGCATCCGCAGCCGCTTCATGCCGCTCGGATTATTCTATATGAGACCACTTCAGCACTGGCTTCACGATCGAGTCCCCAGACGCGCATGGCACGCGCGCGCACACCGAGTCTCTGTTACTGCGCTGTGTCGCCGCGCCCTCAGCCCTTGGAGCGACCCCTCGTTCCTACAGGCCTGGGTGTCTCTAGAACAGGCGTCCAGTCTTGTTGTCGTTTCAGCAGACACCTCCAACACGGGCTGGGGGGATGTGCGTTGCGGGCATGCGGCTGCGGACCTGTGGATAGGTACCCAAGTGCATTGGCATATCGCCTGGAGTTGTTGGCAGTGTTCCTCGCTCTCCACCGTTTTTTTCCAGTGCTGGAGCAGCAACACGTGCTGGTCAGGACGGACAGTACGGCGGCGGTGGCGTATATCAGCCGTATAGGGGGTATGCGCTCTCGCCGCATGTCTCAGCTCGCCCGCCGTCTGCTCCTCTGGAGTCATCCGCGGCTGAAATCGCTGCACGCCATTCATATTCAGGCAAGCTCAACCGTGCAGCCGATGCGCTCTCACGGCAGCCTTGCGTCCTGGAGAATGGAGACTCCACCCCGAGTCTGTTCAGCTGATATGGGCGCGATTCGGGGAAGCCCAGATCGATCTGTTGCTTCCCCCGAGATCGCTCATTGCCAGTTGTTCTTTCCCTGACCGAGTGCTCTCGGCACGGATGCACTGGCTTACAGCTGGCCTCGGGGCACGCGCAAATACGCGTTTCCCCCAGTGAGCCTGCTCGCGCAGTTACTGTGCAGGGTCGGGGAGGACGAGGAACAGGTTGCTGGTTGCGCTCCTCTGGCTCAACCGGACCTGGATGTCAGAGCTCTCCCTCGCGATAGCCCTCCCCTGGCAGTCCCTTCGAGAGAGCACCTACTCTCTCAGGGACAGGGCACCACCTGGCACCCTCGCCGATCTTTGAAGAGATTTTAGACGCGAGGAAGACTTAGGTAACCTCCGATTGCGGTGGCTAATACCGTCACTCGGGCTAGAGCCCCCTCCCCGAGCGCGCCTATGCCCTGACGTGGAGTCTATTCACTGAATGGTGTGTCTCTCGCTGAGAAGACCCCCGTAATTTGCCAGATCAGCGTTGTGCTTTCTTTACGCCGAGAGAAGTTGGAGAGCAGGCTGTCGCCCTCCACACTCAAGGTTACATGGCTGCCATCTC